ATTACCAGAGGGAAGATTGGTTCGGGGGAGGTAGAAGAGGGTACAAAATGGTAATGAAAGGAAACTTGACTGGGGAGGTGAACACAGTCCAATATACAGATGATGTATTATAGAATTGTACACCTGAAACCTATATAATTTTATCAACCAATATCACACCAATAAATTTAATAAATAGAAAAAAGTTAATTCACAATCTATGTTAAGGTATTAGTAGAACTTTAATAACAAAAACAATTACTCTTCAGACAGAAAGAAACTAGTGTTCATGGCTATTCAAGTGATATTTTTTGAATGAGATAATCAGTCAAGTGATAAGATTTTTTTTTCCCATTTAAAGAGTAGATATTTATTTCTCAAACATACTGAAATGTTAACCTATTCAAATTGCTCATTAGGCCCTATACAATGATATGTTCTCTGTATTTTCTGCTCAGTATTTTTTTGATAGATATTTAATGAATTGTATGCATATATCAATATATTGCGGTAAACTCACTTTAGAGCTGTTTTAAAATCAGCTTCAGTATAATTTTACACCTATGCATTGTAGTAGGTGTCCCAAGGTGTGTGTGAATGGAAGAATTGGTTAACACACAATGGTTCGTATATTGCTTGTTTAGGCCAGATATGCGTGTTCCTGTGTTCTGCTTAGAAAGAAGCCTTATTAAAATATAAAGTAAGTTATGTTCAAATGGTGCTGTGGATACAATTGGTGCCTCTACCCAGGGTGGTGCATGCATACCGCAGGTGATGAGTGTTGGCTCCTGGTGGTTGACAGCTTCCCCTCATCCAGAGATTTGGCCTCAGGGAACTGGTGTCCTGCAGCTAATGATGACTGACTTGGGGTCTCCCTCCAGGTGGGACTGACTGTGGTGCAATTCTGGCTGAAGTGAGAATCTAGCTGAGGCCACGTTTTTGAATGTCTCTTTTTTCTGTCTTACCTGGCTTCCTTCACTCCCCTCATTCTGAGAGCACCCGCTCTATTAATCCTCTGCACCTGAATCTGTCTCAGGTCTGCCTCTAGGAAACCTTACCTAAGACTAGAGATACCATATGATCACTTTGAGCAAATGTAAACTTAAACAACATGCAAATTGATGACTTGCTTCCCAGTATTGTTAATGGGAAACCCCAGTGGGATTCAGGCTGCCTGTCACTGTATCCAATTTAGTGGAGGCAAGGTTGATTCATATAAGTTTATTGAGAAGGCTAGCCAACCAAGAAGACAGGGAGCATATGAGCATCCAAAACCTGTCTTAAAGAATGGCCTGAGGGATAGGGTTATATAGGGAAATGTGGTAAACTGAGGCTGGGAACAGAATGTAGCTATTGGGCAGTGCCAGAGGCCCATAGGCATCAGCTATTGTTTTTGGTCATCTGGCGATGTCTCGATGAGGTGGTATCTTGACTCATTGTTGGGTTGGCCTGACCATGCATCTTGGTTGTCTTGAGAAGATGATAGCCTGACTTTGTTCACAGCTGTGTCGCCTTCTTAATAGCTTCGTCAGGGATCAAGGGGAGTGTATGGGTGCAAAGGCCTAGGAGAAAGAAACTTGAGGAAAAAAGAAACTAAAATCCCTGCTCACATAAGTATATGTGTTCTACAGTTTTATAAGTAATATAAATATATTTCAAATTCAGGTGCTCAACCTTTGGACATTGTAAGTGCCCCTATATCATTATGATTACCTGGAAACTGCACTAGACAGGGAATCTGGGCTCCAGCTCTCAAGTTCCTAAAAGCAGCTACCTCTGGCAAGTCATTTAATTTCTGTTAGCCTGTCTCTTCTGTTCTGTAATATATGAAGCTTAGACTATGAGTTATTCAGACTCCCATGTTGAAGGTTTTATCTTAAGGCAGAGGGTTATTAAATGAAGATGTTTGGCTTCCTTTGATGCCCCCAACTCCAGTTTCTAGGATAGCCTTAGAAGATGCCCAGCTTTACTCTCTGGAATTGTAACATAATTTTCTAGGAAAAAGCTTTCAATACATTTCCTAAGGAGTTTGTGACCCCAGAAGTTCAGTGCCAATGACTTATAGGGTTTTCTTTTATTCCTCTTTATAGATAGAAGTTCAAAATCTATTCTAAGAATACTGCACCCTTTATACATATATACGTGCATACATTCACGCACACACATTTTTTCTTTTCATTGTTTTTGTATTTTACCTTTTGTAAAGGGCAGTTTTTCGTACACTTTCCAGTGCCATTTCCTCCTGAACATGCAGAAAAGTACCTTGTGTTAGATGAGGTTATCTCATGAGTGCTCCTGAAAGGTTTTGTGCTATTATGTACAGTGGTGCCTTGGTTTTCGAACTTCTCCATTGATGAACACTTCGGTTTATGAACGCCGTAAACCCGGACGGAAATGCCTCGGTTTTCGAACACGCCTCGGGAGTCGAACATGTCATGTGGCTTCCGCTGAGGGCTAGATCCTGAGGCCCAACTGTCGGCTGTTGAGTCCTTGGTTTTTGAACGTCTCAGAACTTGAACTGTCTCTGGAACAGATTACATTCGAAAACTGAGGTACCACTCTAGTTGATTCCAAACTTCTTTGTAGTATCATTTCTTCTTTGTTTCCTCTTTGTTTTCAAACAGGGACTGTCATCACACCTTTGTCATGAAGCTGAATGCCATATTTAGACAAGGGAGGTCAGATAAGCCACAGGAAAGAGGTTGGGGGAGCTCTGGGCCTCTTCCTTAATTCTGAATACACTACTTTTGTGTATAAGCTCATGTTACCTTAGAGATGCCTTTACACAAAGCAATAGCCTTTTCATCTTTCTTGTCTATCTTGAAATTTTATTTTGATTTCAGCCACGGCTAAATGGGTTTTCTGTTTGTTTTTTAGTGTTCTGTACCTATTAAGTGTTTTAATATGCTGGCTAAGGAGCCTGGGTCATGTTTGGTCATCAGACAAATAAAAATAAAAATATAGCGAATAATTTAAAATAGGTTTTCAATGTTCTTAGATCCCCCACCTTTTGTAATAATTATTCCCTAACTTCCCTGTTTTTCCAGTGAAAATCTTTATAGATAGCTAATATTATCTATACTTATAATAAACCCATAATGCCTCACCATACTGTGTAATAAAACAATATGTATCTCAGTATAAACAATTGGCCATGACTATTCATGAAGGTACAGCACAGCCATATTCTAGAATCTCTGCCTCATGCCCCTGTGAGTGCAATAGCTGCACTGTGGGTTGATACAGGTGTGCTGTTCTGGTGATTCATATATCAAAGGCAGTATTGTCCTGGGATACCTAAATTTCAGAAATGGAGCACAGCTATTGGTAAAGTTAACAACAACAACAACAAAAAACTTCAAGAAGGAAAAAAAACTGTGACTATAATTTTTAGAGTAGTAGTTGGATTCTTGGAATATCCAATGTATATTTAAACCACACAATAAGAAGTATTTAATATGCAACAATTTATATATGAATTCCATTTTGTATCTGATTCCATTGAATTAGAGTTTAGGCTTAGATAATTGATATTCTCTCTCTCTCTTTAAGGTATGTGCACCTGTCTATCTTTGAGAGACAGGACAGTTGTTTTATTATTCATTTATTTGTGTTATTGTGGAGGATTAGCCCACGTGTTGCAGAAAATCTAGCACACCTTCCCCCTGCCAGTCTTGGTAGTATCACCTCAGTCACAGTGGCAACCAAAATGCCCCCAGACATTTTCAAAATGCTTCCTAAGTGGTGTCAAAGGCCTGTTGAGAGTCACTGGCTTAGAGGGGAAAAAAATGAAACAAAACAAACCATTATTCACATAACAGGATATTACTAACCAGAACAGCCATGAGAGACATTACTAATACTACCTTTTATTGGAGTGTCAAATGTAATAGCTTATAAGATCTTAAATATTTGTATCACTGTGCAATGAAGGGAACTTTGACTTCTAAGTGCTTGAATGGTTTGGTAGCCAAAAACTGAGTCAGCTAAAGGCTAAACTACAGTGTCTGATGAATTGTAGCACCCTTTAAAACTTGGAAGAAATTTAACTTGCTGGGCTCCAAAGGTGGTTCAAAGTTCTGAATTTTATGGTCCCATTTCTGAGTGGATATGGTGTTTATATACATCCAGGTGTTTTATGTTGTGTATCACAAATGACCCAGGGGTGAGATCAGGAGGAAATCTGCTTGAGCTGCCCTTCTCCTTCAGCATCTTCTGTCTTAGGCTCCTCTTCCTTTGCCAGAACAGCCTCTTACTTAAGCAACTTAATTGATAGATCCTGGAAACAATTCTTATATTTATGTGGATATACTTGACGTGTATTTTTAGTGAGGATTAGTGCTGTAGCAATCAATATCCAGTCACTTAAACCCTTGGTTTGAATGCTGCTTGATCAATGTTTTAGATTTTTAGGTGGTACCTCTTTTTATAAGTGTAATTTTTATATAATTTAGAACTGAGTAAAGTTAAGTAGTTAACGAATATTTTAGATGGGTTGGAGAAGAGCCCATTAAAACTATAGAATGCTTCACCTATTGGGTACTAGGCATTTGATAAGAGGTGCTTGTAGCTATCAGAATCTGGAAAGTGGTTGGCTTATTTAGCTTTTAATTTTTATGATACATGGAGCAGCTCTTTCAAAAATGGTACCAGATAGTATCAGGTACAGCTGTTGTAAAATATATACACACATTTTGAAATTGTTAATCCTAATGACTTTATGAAAGGCAGATATCTTCAACTGTCTAATTAAATCTATAGTAATGCGAATGTAATTTTACTAGCCTGCTGTGAATTTAAAAAGCTGTTTCGGTGTTTTATCTCTAAAGATGATCTAGAATACTTTCTTCTCTGTACCTCAGCTCTTTTTCTCTCTCTTCTCCAGGCAGAACTACACGTAAATAATTTCAAAACAATTAATGCTGCTTTAGTCAGAAATTATTGATTTTCCGTTCATAGTGTATGTAGAGTGGCTGCTCTACTTAGATTCTAAAATGAGGCTTTTTAATTGTGTTTTCCAGGAAGATATGAATTTAAATGAAGATAAGAAGGCACCATTGCGAGAAAAGGACTTTAGTATCAAGAAGGAAATGGTGATGCAGTACATTAATACTGCTTCAAAGACAGTAAGTAAAACTGTTAAGTGGAAAAATACTGCTGAAATGTGGTAGTATGAAAAACAATGCATTTGTCTAATGAAGTGCTTGAGTTTGTGGGCAACTGAAATCAGAGGGCTTTTGAGTATATAATTAAAGCCACAAGGACTATAAGATTGTTTAATTTAAAAGTAGTTCTCATAACTTTTAAACTGCTTTTGTATTTTAGCCACTCACATTGCTGAGAAACACTGATTAGTTGGTTTATGTACTCCAAGACAACTTTTCTTGGTAGTGAATTAAGATGGTTATTGATTTTTGTGTCACTTGTAAATTGGGATAATATTTGTACTATAGAAAAGGGAGACTGATTTTACTCTACCTAAATCAGGATACATTATAGTGACTTAGAGGTATGTCTTTAATGTGAGTTTTCCTATGGAGAAAATTAACCTTGTAACAAATTATAAATGGAGACATTGAAAGGAGCATTGAGCCTTTACATGGCTACCAGTTTTCTGGAGAAACATGAACTGCGTGGCTGGAAGTAATGACTAAATGTCTAAGAAACCATGGCTGGCACACAGAATCAATTACATTTATTTCATGGACCGACAAATGAGCTTAACCGGTCATATAAAAATTGTCAATAAATAGGTTAGATTAAATTATAAAATGGAAGCTAATGAAGAAGTGATTGGTAGAAAGACCATAGAAAATGACTTTGGCTGAACTTAAGATAGAATTGGATTAGGGAAAAATAACATACTGTAGCTTTCACTGGATAACTTTAACTAAGGCCAGGTTAAATGAATATGTTACTAATACTTTAACTGCATTTATTTGCTAGACCAGTCAGTAACTCTTTTGGAAGAAAGACTCAAGTGATGTTAAATTTTTAAACAGGTCTCATGTTTGGGCAGCCTGATGTTCACTTGTAGGAATCACTGAGTGCTGTGACTTCAGCTCTTTATATAGATGGGCTCTGTATCTGCTGTTGTGATACAAATTGCCTTTGTCCCTTAATGATACTTGGACATCACAGATTAGCATTAGGAGTCAGAGGTCTTCTGTTTTAGATCAATTTATTTGTCTTCTATTTCATTGGAGTATCTTACTGTACCTCCCTGATCCTTAATTTCCTCATTCATCAGATGGAATGAAATTCCACATAGGCTTGTTGTTAGAATTAAGCTGTATATTCCGGTTAAAACATAACATTTATTTTTTAATCCTCACCTGAGGTTATGCTTACTGACTTTTCTTTTTTTTAAATTGGGGCGGGGGGGGGCGAGAGAAGCAAACAAACATTGATGTGAGAGAGAAACATCGATCAGCTGCCTCCTGCATGTGCCCCAACCGGGGATCAAACCCGCAACCTAAGTACGTTCCCTTATTGGAAATGGAACCCACACCCTTTCGGTATACGGGGTGACGCTCCAACAAACTGAGCCACCGGGCCAGGGTGGATTTTATAACTGGTGACTGCCTTTGTGGTAGCAGTGGTGGTAGTAGCAATTGTTTGTTTTTTCTTTTTCTTTGTGATTTATTGTTTGTGCTGCTGAATTATTACATCATAATTAAAAATATAAGAAATGTACATCAGCAAAAATACAATTTTACTAGTAATGAATCTACATTTTGAAAACATTCATTTGTTCACCTGTCATATTTATTAAGTATCTATGTGTCAGGCACTATTTTAGGCCCTGGAGATGGAGCACCAAGATAATCTATCATGTGAGTTATAGAGCAACATGCAAAGGCATGTAATAGGTGAAATGTGACATGAAAAAAATAGCAAGGGAGGGGTGGGGATGGTATAACTTTTATATAGAGTAATCAGGGAAGAGTACCCTGTTTGGGAATTTTAATCCAACAAGCATGAATTCACTTAATATAATTATAAGAGATACAATATTAGAACTGGTTTAGAAAACCTTGTATTTTAATTCTGGAATTTCAGGTAATAAACAAAGAAACCATTTTGAACTTCATTATAGTGGCTCTATTTCAGTTTGCATTCACTGATGTTAAACTTTAATCCTCTAATCATTTTGACTAAGGTTGGAACCTATTTACCAGAATTAGTTAATTAGATTATCAGGATTGAAATAGAGTAGTTATCTAATGTATGATTAAAGCATTGGCTTATTTAATTAGTGTGAGAGGATCATGGCTTTTCCTAAGAGGATTCTGAATAATTTGGCAGATGTTTAACGCTGTAGAAAGTTCAAGCTGACCAGTCACCTATTTTTGCTCTGAAAGTAGAAACACATTTTATTAACTCTAGGATACAAACTGTGTCATGCCAGTATATTTAGGTTAATGAGTACTCAAAGAGTTTCTCTGAGAAAAACAATTAAAATTCATCCATAGGTTGTTTTAGAGAGGATGTGGGGAGTTTGTGTCAGATATACTTTTGTTATCATTTTAGCCTTAGAATTTGCTTTTTTTTTTTTTTTTTTTTTTTTTTTCGTTTTTTTTTT